TTGAAAATACAAATATACCCTAAAATTAACGGAGAATTGGATGAAATTATCTAAAAACTAATTGCATGAGTGAAACATTTCAATTATTTCGTTTGCTAAATTGGCAGATTTTGTAGTTCATGAGGTAAGTTCGATTAGGGTCATAATTCAGGGGGCAAACGACGCATTGCTCTAAAAACTAAGAAATTACAGAGGATGAGATGTGATTCTGTGAGTGGCTTTATATTTAGTTACCAAAGAAACTAATACATTGCTCTAAATGGATTCTACGGTAAGCCAATATGAATTCCATTAACTCACTGGTATAACTCCAATACCAAAAAAATAAAAAAAAACTCACTGGTGTAACAAATTGAGTTACCTTCTTCTTCTTTTTTTCTTCTAATTGTCTAATAGTCATCTTTTAGAATTTTTTATTTTTTATTTTTTATAGAAGCGATATTTTATTTTGAACTAATCTAAACTATGCGAAGTGAAAGGAGATTCGAACTCAGGTACAAAGTAGGAAACACATTCGCGTTAGCCAACTTGGCTAAACACATGTCTCCAGTCATCTTTTAGAGTTTAGTTATAAGAAATATTAATATAATATTACTGAAAATATAAATTATTCTTATATGATTTTTTTTTAATGCGGAAATTATTCTTATGATTCTAATCCGAACATCTACATTTTTCTTTTCCAACCAGACCTAACTAGAATCCTTGTGACACGGGCTTCGCCACCTGGCACCCGGCAATTTTTTAACCCCGTGGTTCGCACGACATCGTTTCTGGTTTCTTTCTTTTTACCTGTCAGCGATTCGGTTATATGATACAAACACGCTACGGCGATCGGAGAGACAGAGGAAGCGAGCTGATCATTCATCTTCTCTCTCTCTCTCTCTCTCTCTCTCTCTTCTTTCCAAATCCCGTGGAATTTCAATTATCGAATGAAGCAATTTAGGTACGTTTGGTTTCACCCCTTATTTCTTCATCATTTCGAATTTACTTTCATAAAATCTACGCCAAGTTGAAATGTTGCGGCAATTTTTCGTCATAAAAATTCTAAATTTCCGTTGTATTCCCAAGTCATATTTCACTCAGTTCTTTGTTGGGTAGTTGGTTTCCTAGCTCATCATGTCGTGTCTGCGTAAATGTTTGTTTCTCTACTCTATCAGAATTCAATTTGACGTTTTATTTAGTTTTGGTGGGATAATTTTGGCCTAATAATGCTGCATTGTGAAGGAAAAAATAATTTTTAATATGTTAGAATGAGATAATGGCAAATTATTTCATATAAGAAATTGTTGCAATTTATACGCTGTTCTTTTAATATCTTTTATGTTTTTTTTTTTCATTCTAGACTTCGTTCTATGAACTAGCTTGTTGTTGACAGGATACACTAGAAGAATTCTTGAAGATTCAATTTGGTGTTGCACCTTCTACAGTTTTAGCAGTTAACCCCTTCTCTTGTATCGCCCTTGTTTGTCTGTTGTGATGTGGGGTTTTGCTTCTAATGCCATCACAAGCATTGGACTTAAAAGAAGCTCCTCAGAGCCAAGCCGGGTTTGTTTGGACTCCTCGGACGATGAAGTCTGCTCAAATTCAAGCCAAGAGGAGGGGTTAGAATGCCCTATATGCCTGGAATCTTTTAACATTGTCGAGAATGTGCCCCATGTCTTATGGTGTGGTCATACCCTGTGCAGAAATTGTGTCTTGGGGCTTCAATGGGCTCTCTTTAAATTCTCCTCTCAAAAGTTTAAGATCCCATTTTTCATTGCTTGCCCGTGGTGCCACTTGTTGTCTTTGCGGCTGGTTTATAAGGGGAATCTAAAGTTTCCACGCAAGAATTTCTTCCTTCTCTGGATGATTGAGAGCTTCAATGGTGAAAGGGTAAAGTTTGGTTCTGCACTCAGTGGGGAGAATCAACAAATTGGTTCTCCAAGAGCAAGTTTAGCTACTGGAAATCAAACTGGCAACGGTAACCTGAGAAGGACCCATTCTAGTTGCCCTTCGCTGTCGAGGTATAACCACGATGATAGGGGTCGTCATGTCGAGCGGCATCATTTCTCCCTGCAGAAGTCTTTGGAAAGTTTCATTCACATTACATCCAAGTTCCCATTAGTCATTGTGTTTCTTTTGATTGTCTTTTTTGCAATACCTGGCTGTGCTATTATTTTGGCCCTCTACTTGTTACTCACAGTGGTTTTCGCAATCCCCTCTTTCTTCCTATTGTACTTTGCATACCCTATTTTGGAGAGGTTGGTGAGGGAGATAACCTCATGACCAGGCATAATTGGCTCGTCACCCTTTTTAGAACCATATGGCTCCAACTATCCTCTTCCAGTTGTCATCCAAATTTTTTTTCATCAAAGTAGAGCACATTATGCTAACTTGAGCCTTCGGCATCCAGAGCACTCTCGGATTACGTGGTATGCATGACAGTGGAAGTTTCAAGAGTATATGAGGCATGTTTCTTGGGTAATTTGTAAGGTCTGGCGTCTGAGTTTGAATGATTGTCATTAATGTAACTACCATTGTTTATTGGAAGTGGTTGATTTCCTATTGCTCAACTGATTTTTGAGGAAGTATTTGAAGTTGTGTTAGTGAATTTTTACATGCACGCTTACTTGAAGGCCGGCAAAAATGACCGAAAACAACTACTTGACTTTCATGTCTAATCTGTTTCATGAAATCTGTGCAACATACACGAATAGATTTGGGAAAGTCATTTGACTGGTGTAAACCTTTGGGAGGCCTAGGCTCCGAGGCTTGTCCTTATTCGTTATACAATGAACAGTCAGTATTATTGCCTTCTAATTTCAGCTTGATGCATCCTGGGATACCTTATACATTCAACAGCACAAGTGTGGGATGTCTGATTGGTTTCCTGACAAAGGCCTTGTCTTTTACTCTTAACTTCATTTGTGGTCTTAGTACCATCTAATTAGTTGATTTGTACGTGCTTTTAATATGGTATGAATAATCATGGTGGAACTGCCATCTTATTGTGATTGCACTCTGAGTTTCATACAGGATCTGTAAGAATATTTACAATCTTGAAAGTAGCGGAGTATCTATAATTGGTCGACTTAGAAGCAGAAACATGATGTAGGAGCTTTCCCTGTTTTTCTGATTGCATTTGCCTTTTCTTTTGCCTTCAAGACTTCATTTCTGTACCGCTCCTCTGCCTGTGCCCTTGCTCCCTCTGCAATCTGTTTAATATGTTCCATATCTCTGTTGAACTTTCGTTGAGCTTTTACTCTTTTTTTCTCTATTTCACTCTGCAGGTTCAATAAGTTTAAGTTGGTTATTAGTCCATATGGTCAAAGTATTACATTTGATAAAGAAATGAAACAAAACCTCTTTTGTACTGAGTCGGCGTCTGGTTTTCTTCTTCTTCTTGCTCTCCCAGGAAAGTATTGTGGCGTTTTGTTTCTCATACCTGACAATCATGAATGTTAGAGGAAGAACAGAATATGATCTTAAATTCCAAGGTGGAAGCTCTCAAGAATCTGTAGTTCATTCAAATTCAATATATAATAAGTGAGAACAGCATATGATCTTGAATTCTAGGAGGAAAACCATATTATTTTCTGTAACCATTTTAGGTATGCTCGAGTTTCTAAACATAATATAATAAAGAACGTAGATCACGCAAAATGTTCGCCAATGCTGAGTAGCTACCTTTCTTTAAGCATAGCAAGCTTATTCTCCTCCCAAATATCTGCTTGTGTTTTTCTTGTTCCAGGTTCTGTTGCACTCTGCCTCATGGTTTCATTTGAAGGGCCTGCAGTCTCAGGTTTTATATTGTCAGTTTTGTTCAACTGTTTATCAGCAACAGTTAGAGTGTTTTTAATTGACGGGGAACGAAGGGGTTGTGGTGCTGCAGTTTCAGGTTTTATACTGTCAGTGCTGTTCAACTGCTTATCAGCAAAAGTTGGAGTTTTTTTGATCGACGGAGCCTTTCCGGGGACCTTCCCAGTTGTGGCAGTACCATCTGGATGTTCTCGTTCTGGAGTACTTTTAGTTGAACCTGCACTTAATACAGCCCATCTTCTTGGTTATGAACTCACAGTTTGCAAATAAAAACTGGGAACTCAGTTTTAGTTGTCATAAGAATGTTAACCATATTATCTTACCTGGGAATAGTTTGGAAACTCTTCCAGGTTCCGGCTTCGAAATTGCTGTTTCTTCCTTTTTGCTCTTGATCCTCACCAAAGAGGTTTTCGGCTCATTGCCGGTCTTTTTCTGATCAGAGATGGCTGAGTCTTCAATTGACTTAATGGCATATGCAGCTGCTGCCACTGCGGTTGCATGCTCTATTGCCTTGTTAGAATCATAGTCTTGACTCATTTTCCCCGACAGCTGTCTCTGGAACCAATTCTGGGGTTTCCTTTTCTCTGCAAGAAACAGCTTAACGGGTTCACAATCTGATCATCCTGAAAAATTGTTTCTACACCAGAAAATCTGTATTCTTTTGACTTGAAAATGGGTGATATTTTCCCGAGAAAACGGGTTCAAATATTACCTTTGAAAGATTGAGCTTTCTGTGGCGATATTCTACGATCATGTTCAGTCTTCTCTTGTCTTACACCAGAAAATCTCACCCTAACAATAGTGATTAGTCATATTTAAATGGATGATCTCCTCTGGTTAAGACTAATAATCATAATTACATGTTTAAAACAAATCAACAATTTTCAAAGTTACAGTCGGAATACCTTATTTGCTTAAGCAAAGGCTCCATCTTTCAGATGAAACTGGCCCCCAAATTTCTTCTTCCAAGTAATGATTTGGCACCCATAAGAAGCTGGTGTTTATTTGAAGGTTAAGCTTAGAGGGAAGGAGAGCTAGTTAATAGGCTGCTGTTAGGGCCAAGGCGGCAAGAAAACTGAAGTATACTTTGCATGCACGTAATGCCTGGTTTGGATCTTAAAAAAGGCCTTTCTGGTGAAGAAAAGCATTCCTTCTTTCCTTTGATTCTTAGCTTTCTGACTTCCAAAGAACAAAGCATATGTGATCACAACATCACAGATAACAATGCTAATCTTCTATTTCGGCAGAGTACTTAGATTACAACCCTACCAAAACTAAAGACATTTTATTCTAAGAACCCAAAAAAAAAGGCAGCTAATGAATTATATAACAAAAAGTTTATGCTAAGCGCAAGCAGGGGCATGGAAGTCTTTAATAGATACAAAGACAATTGAATCAGCTGCAACACTGATGGCAGAGGTAGGATCCACAAGTTTTGGTTCCATTTTAGGAATGTCTGATGAATTTGTGAGCTTCAAAGGATTTCCATTGAGCAGCAGCACATCACTTTGAATATTGCCACCTTCTGGTGTCAAATGATACTCTTCTCTTTCTCGTCCAACTATACGACCATGCTTTCTCACCCGTATTGGCCCCAGATACAAATTGTAGTCGGGGTGGACAGCAACGTCGAAGGTGGTCGTGTTGGACATGTTGATCAAAACTAGAGTGATACCCTTCTGAAACAAAATATGTTGTGAATGTCAGATATGTTAAAGATCCTTTTAAGTATCAAAAAAGCAGAGGCTAATTGAAATCTGAGGTCTGAAACATTGAGTTACCTGATTCTTTGAGCAATGGGAATATGCACGCAAATAAGGGGAGCCAAGGTGCGTGGTGGAGAGCACCCTATTTCCCATTAGTCGATGCCACAAAAGAGCACTGGTGGAAAAGCAGAAAAAAAAAAAAATTAGGAAAATCCAATGAACATGTCAAGATAAGTTAGTTGATCATTTTAAGTTAAGAAAAATTTAAGGCAGAGATTCTAACCCATAATAGTCTGGATTAGGGATGAATGTTGTGGTATTAAGAAGAGCATAGTTCCCTCCAATCAAGGCTTGTCTGCAGTAAACCTTATGGTTGTAGGTTGATGTCATGCCAAGTTGGTCCAAGTACCTATTTCAATCAAAGTTAGATCCACATTTGTTTTGTTTGTGTGTGTCTTTCTAAATTATTAAAACTAGAGAAAAGGTCCTGACCAGAAGCCATTAACAAAGGTGTGTGACACATCTTTGCCACCACTGTTATAAGCTCCACCTGCTTCCCCAACCCAAGCTTCTGACCATGGCCCAAACTCCTTGACTGTATTTGACAGATCATAAAATGTCTCAGCTATCTCTGAAAGGAAAAATGGGTCTTGAACCCTGTCGATAAGGGCGGGATCAACACCTGCAATCCCAATATTTTCATCAAATATACATCAAATCACAGAGACACATCCTGGTCCAGAAGTGGGCATGATTATGTACCTGCACCAAGATTGTAGAGGTGATGGGTTACCACGTCTACGACACCGGGTCCTGTAGCTTGCAGGAAGTTTTCATACCATTTTTTGTCATAAAAGCTAGCTGGGCCTATAATCTTTGGTCGTTTAGAGGCATCTGGGTACAATTCTGTCACAACTTCTTTGAGCTTTTTGATGTCTTTTGCATATTGATCACTTTCTATCCTTGCAGCAACCCCACTCCCGGCTAGCTCATTTCCTGTTAGGATTTGCGCTTAATGAGTAGCACAATCAAGTTATATATATAAGTACATATCTAAGCCAAAATTAAAAATAATTTTATTTACCAAGCTCATATGAATCAATCTGGTAACCCTTTGCAATAGTGTACTCCATGAGATCCCGAGAGTTTTGCGGGTCCCAGTCACCAATCCGGAGACTTTTGTCTTTGGGAGACACTTGCTTCCCTTGGAGGGCATTCAACCCAAATGTGATTTTAGCTCTACAACAATCAATAATGCGTGAGTTTGCTAGCAAATGTTCAAATAACCATGGAGCTTCCTAGTTCCTGCACAGCTTTGTATACACAAAATATCAGCATATATACTTACTTTGTATTGTTAAAGAAGTCATTGAGCTCATCCCATCTTTTCTGGTCAAGGCAAGCATCACTGAACCCGAACAAACCAGACTCTTGTTTTTTGAAACCTTCACATGATTTAACTCCATATCCAACACCATAATTCACCTGATCTTGCAATGAGCCTCCAACTCTGATTCTCATTGGATTGAAAGCTGAAATTATATAAACAAATTTAGTCCCCCTGTGATGTGACCGTAAACGAATGGTACTTTCTATTCAGAAACTTACCCTTGATAGCATTGTTCAAGATCTTGTTATCCAAATCCTGCAAAAAAAGGCCCAAATTATCAAGAAAGTTCAGCTCCTCATCAATTTGTTCATAAAGAAGATGAAAGAGTAAGCAGAGAAAGCAAAACAAAACATACATACCAGATTGAAGATGCCAGCCTTTCCCCATGGACACTGATTGTAGTCACATTTGTTAGTTGGCCACCAGTCCAGAGTTGCACATATGAAATTATCATCCGTGCTGGCTATTGAAGTAACCCCTTCAACGCTGACTTCAACATATTCAGCTAAAGATAATGAAAACCAAGATACAAAGATACAGCATATAAGTGCTCTGAGTCTGACCATCTTTTTCCACATACAAAAAGCCGTGAAAGAAAGATGACATCTGTGGTAACCAAATTAAGTCAAAACCCTAGGTCAAATAATTCATTCCATTTGGGGATTATTTGACCTAATTGGGAATTAATCAACCTAATTGGGAGTTACTCAATTTAATTGGGGGTTACCCAATTAAATTGAAGACTACCTAATTGGGTTGAGAATTGATTCCTAATTCCTACCCCGATTCTCAATTAAATGAGGAATTACCTAATCGAAATAGGATTTGATTTGATACCTACCACAATTAGGGATTTGATTTACCCTAATAAATCAAATCCCTAATTAATCAAATCAATTCCATAAAGGGGAGGAATAATTC